TTATCCTCACCCGATTTTATCCTCGTCCTGGCTTCGTCTTACAGACGGCAGCACGCTGCCGCCAGGACATTTGCGAGCCGGCTTAATTCGGGCACGTGTGCGCTTCTGCGGCCGCATCGCAGCCAAGCGTCGCCGTCAGTCATGGCACAAGCTTCTCGGACAGGCCGTCTGCGTTGCAGAGAGCTCACCGCATATGCTGTCAGACTATTTCGGAGCGCGCAGGGCCAGTGCAGTGTTGATTCCGCCCTGTTGCGAGACGTTTGCAACTCGATCAAGTATTGACCGGGCTCGTACGGCATGCATCTCGTGAGCCCGCTCCATCAAACCGCAGTGGTAGTTTGGTTGGCCGAAAAAAGGAGCTGCAGGCACCACGTCGTTGCTCCATTGGATTGTTGCCTCGCTGCATCCTTTGAGCTCCTGACCCTTGCGAGGGCACACGGTGTCAGCTCGTGTGGCACGCCTGTTGCCTGCATCGCAGCAACAGTCACGGTACTTTTCTCCCGCTGCCCTCGCCTCGCTCTCGCTCTTGTTGGCCTTCCCGGGAGGCCCTGGTCGACACGGCTGCATTCGCCCCGACACTTGGCCAGACCGGATCCTGGGAGAGGTCCGGGAAGCAGCGGTGTAGGTCAGAGTGAGGGGGCTGAACGGTCTTACACACATTTTTTTGGGTGCGCGGGTGAAGTGGAATTCCGTGGCCCGGAGTCTTCTTGTTTCTTGTTTTTCCAATAAACTAATGTTTATCGGATAAACATTCGTTTTTTTTTCTTTCTGGAGAAGGAGGATAAACTTTATCCTCCTTCTAGTGCGCTTTCGGTGCTTTTCAATTGAATTGGCCCTCCCGGGGCTTGCACCCTGGTTTTCACTGCGGAAAGTCTTGGGCCTCAGATTACAACAACGGCTCCCGCTTGACACTTCCTCACGCTTTATCCAAAATCGCGCGTTCGCGCTGGACGTCTTCACAGTGGATCCACGAATCGCGCTCCGCGTGGGACGTCCTTCCAATTCATTGGAGACTCCACGCCCTCAACAGTCAGGAATCACGCTCTCGCGTTGGACTTCCCCACGATTTACTTGGGAATCGCACTATCGCTCGAGACTTTCTCGCGAGTCATGCAGGACTGACGCTTCAGCGACGCGCCCGCTCGACCAGGCCGTCTGGGCCCGCCCGCCCGATCCGCCCGTTAGAATCCGCCCGCTCAACCTGCCCGTCTGGATTTGCTGCTTGTTTCCCTGCTCCGAGCCCCTCTCCTGCTAATCTCTCTCGTGCTCCATCTGGATCTGTCCCCTTTGTCCCTTCCCTCCTTCCCCCCTTCCTCTGTGCTAGGAGGTGCGCCAACTGCACGTGGCGCACGTGGCAGGTAAGAAAGATATGCCCCCGAAGAGATGCGATCAAAGACGAACAGGGCTGGTTTCGAGAGTTTGGGATATACATGTTGAACGACACGCGAGCAGATAAGAACGGCCAGTCTAAACATGATTGTTGTTGTTGTCGTCGCCCCCCCGCCCCCCGCGGCCCCCTGCGACCCATCCCGCAGACCACCCCCCGACCCACACGCGACCCACGCCGCGACCTACCCGCGACCCGCCAGCGACCCAACTGCATCCCACCCACATTGCTCTGACCACAACTCGGCGCCCGCGGCCGGCTCGTGGCGCGACGTGTCGAAGTCGGCGCACGCGGCGGGCTTCTCCAGAGAGTCGCAGGCTGCCGACGACCGCGCCGCCCCCCTCACTCTTCTCCGAAGTTGCAGGGTGCCGCGTATCGGTACACGTCGCCAGGAGGAGGAGGAGGAGGAGGAGGAGGAGGAGGAGGAGGAGGGGCAGGAGGAGGAGGAGGGGGAGGGTTGGCTCCCACGCGCTGCCCCGCGCCCCGGGGAGGGCGCCCCGGGCACCAGGGCAGACGCCGCCTCGGACGCCGGTGGGCTTGCCGTGGGTTTTTCTTGCCGCGGTGTTGGCTTCGTCTACGCTGGGCGCGCTCAGAACAAGCGGCGCGGCGACGGATGAGCGCGGCAAGAAGACGGGGTCGTCTGCGCCGACATCGGCGCGTAAGTGTTGCCCGCGTGAGGCCGCGCGTCAGCGCCCTCGCCTACAATGTGGCTTGCCGCGCTGGCGGCCCGCGTAAGCCGCCGCGCAATGTCATCTCGCGCAAGACCCGTTCGCTTTCGCCTCGCATCGGTTGGTTCCCACGTTTGTTGGCGGGCAGCACCCAGACGCAACCGCACACGGCCCTGCGGCGGCCGATAGAATGAGCCCCTAGTAGATTTTCGTTGGGCCATCGGGTTCGGCATCCGATGCTCGGCATTGGCGGGGCGGCTCGTTTTCTCGATGGGCATAGGCTCAGCACGGCTTCTCGGCGAAGGCTCGGGAGGCCCCGGCCACTGTGCCAGCCTCCATTGATACGGAGGGCATCATCAGCAGCCTCAGCAGCCTCCTCCTCTTGTCCCCTCCTCCTCCTCCATCATCCTCCTCGTCCTCGTCCTCCTCCTCCTCCTCCTCCGAC